GATGATGATGATGATGATGATGATGATGAGCTAGCTCACACTAACTCAGCTTAGAGGGAACACGGGCCAAGAGATTCGATGCTCCCACTAAGCTGTGGAGTCTTGTGAGCAAAAGTTCTTTGGTTTGATTCCCCACTCCTCCACTTGCACCTGGCTGGATGACCTTGGGCAAGCTGTAGTTCTGATAAGAGCTGTCCTTGAAAAAGAGCAGTTTCTGTCAGAGCTCTCTCAGCCCTGCCTACCTCACAGGGCATCTGTTGTGGGGAGGGGAAGGGAAAGGAGTTTGTAAGCTGCTCTGAGACTCCTTTGGGTAGTGAAGGGCGAGGTATAAATCCAATCTCTTCTCCTCTTCTTCTACTTTGTGAGCTACTGGCATTAAAGGTGTGAGTGAGTGATTTGGCAGCTGCATAAATTAGTTTGCTCTGGAGCCATCCCTTCCTGAGCAAAGACCAAAGTGTATGAGCCAGAGGCTAAAGAACTGCGAGCTGGCTCACACTAACTCAGCTTAGAGGGAACACTGCTCGACGGCACATTCGTCTTCATTTTTTTTTCCCTTCAGGGTCCTAATTTCTTCATGAAAAGGATATGACTGGCACCAGCGTTTTGGGGAGGGGGATTTCCTTCGACCCCTCTAAGGAGGGGCCAGTACCAAGGCATACCCCACCGGGTGCAAACAACATGAATGGCTACCATTCTGAAGTCAGCAAGACTGGTCCAGAGCAGACACAGCCTCCTTAGATCAAGAACAGATGCCTGGAAACACTCAGAGGCTAGAAAGAGCCTCCGATCACTGGAATGGAAGCATCAGCAGCAACGGCAGGTCCAGGCCACCAAACAGCTGCAGGCCGTGGCTCAGTGGTAGAGCATCTGCTTGGCATGCAGAAGGACCCAGGTTCCATCCCTGGCATCTCCCGTTAAGGATCAGGGAGTAGGTGATGTGAAAGACCTCTATAAAAGACCCTGGAGAGCCGCTGCCAGTCTGAGTAGACAATGCTGATCCTGATGGACCGAGGGTCTGATTCAGTATAAGGCAGCTTCATGTCTCCAAGCATTTCTAAAAGAGGCAGCCTCTTTGGAGAAGAGTCAGATTAACGAGGCCAGCCAGGTACCCTCAGAATCTCCATCTACAGGACAGCTCCATCCATGAAAACAAGGAAATGCAACACTAGGGAACATAATTACGCAGCTGTCTTTAGTGCATTATCAAAGATTGACTGCATCCTCTGGAAGATTATGCCTCGTCTCTTTGGTGTAGTTTGGCATAGTGGTTAAGCGTGCGGACTCTAATCTGGGAGCACCGGGTTTGATTCCCCACTCCTCCACTCGCAGCTGCTGGATGACCTTGGGCAAGCCACAGTTCTGTCAGAGCTCTTCTCTCAAGGGCAGTTCTCTCAGAGCTCTCTCAGCCCCACCTACCTCACCGGGTGTCTGTTGTGCGGAGGGGAAGGGAATGGGACAGTTAACCCTGTCATGGATCTGGAATGTGGAGGGGTGTCCTCCTCATTCTCAGCTCTTACCTGTCCAGCTACTGTGTGCTATCTCTGGCTTGACCTTGTAGTCTCCAGCTGCCTTTTACTCTGCTGGGAAAGTAACGGCTTTTTGCTGTGCCCGCTTGCTCACTTGCTTTTGCGCACGTGTACAAACTATATTTGGCTTCAGCTCACTGGGGGGGGGGTGTGTGTTTGATTTGATTGACTATGTCAGAGGCCCTTATACTGAAGGCTATTCCTGACACAAGCTGTACACGTGTTCTTTAGTACTGGAACCACTAATAAACAGTTATCGTCTTATGAAGCCCTGTGTGGTGTGACCTGACTACAGAGCCTGACAGTCTGTCTGTCTGTAGCCGCAGAAAAGAACAAGAGTCCAGGAGCACCTGAAAGACTAACAAAATGTGAGGCAGGGAATGAGCTTTCGTGAGTCACCGCTTACTTCTGGACTTGTATCTAGCTATTAGTATCTGAAGAAGTGAGCAGACTGACTCAGGAAAGCTCCTCCCCTGCCACAACTTTTGTTAAGTCTTTCAGGTGCTGCTGGACTCCTGCTCTTTTCTGCTGCTACAGACGGACGAACACAGCTGCTCTCTGAAACGAAGACTATTACAGACTGTGCCGGTACCTGTGCAGAACTGGGGACAGGAGACAGAAATCAGCATTCTAAAAATATCTGGGTTTTGTTGTTGTGGTTTTTTTTTTTTAAACCAAGTTTCTAACCCTGAAGGCTTGGCACCATGTTGTGACTGGAAATCTCTCAGAAGACAGATGGTGTCAGGAGAGCAAGATTTCCATGCATCAGTGCGCCGTTTCATTGTTTGATCCTCATATTACTGCCAGCAACATCACACATCATAACTATGTGAGGCCTACTTAGTTTGCTTAATGCCCGTTGCAGCATTCTGCTATTCCTGGCGCAGGATTGGGGCGTCCTGAATGTAAAATTTATGCGAGGGCACGCTGTGGTCAGATCCGGATTACAGAGCACCCGCGTCGTTTTAAAACGCGGGAGATGCACGGGGCATTTGACAGCCGGTGCGGCCTCTACTTTGGAGGAGGTACAGCTGCAATCCTAAATGTGCTTACTTCGGAGCAAGAAGTCAATCCCGTTGAATTCAGTGAGGCCCAGAGCTGCACTAGAAGAGAGTTACCTAGGAAGTCCTGGGTTCGGATCTCACTGCAGCTAGTGGCAGGGAGGCAGGGAGGCGCTAAAGAACACAAGCCACAGGAAGGGGGGAAATAAGAGATCTTTCCCCATTCCCACATGGGCCTCCTTTCTCTGACTGCATTGAGAGCGCTTGGGCGGGGGGGGGGGCGATGACTTTAAAAGCAGGCTGGAGGAGGGAAGGCTAAGCGTCCTCCTTTCTCTCCTCTTAGTACTCTGATCCATTTGGGGGGGGGGTATTTTGTGTGTGCGCATGTGTGTGCCTGAAAGTCATGGTTGACTTCTGGTGACCCCTAGTGGGGCTTGGACATTTCAGAGAGGTGGCTTTGCTATTGCCTGCCTCAGCATCCCAGCCCTGGTATTCCTTGGAGGTCTCCCATCCCCGTATTTCCCAGGGTCGGCCTTGCTTCGCTTCCGAGATCCGGCTTTCCAGGGCTATCCAAGTCAGGGCTGCTCTGTCTTCCTGAGATGCAGCCGGGACCTGATTCTAGCCTACGGGGCGGCGGCTGCTGCTACGGCATGGATCTTGGCCCTTAGCAGTGTTCCCTCTAAGCTGAGTGAGTGTGAGCCAGCTCACAGTTTTTTAGCCTCCGGCTCACCCATTTCTGTCTCAGCTCAGGAAGGGATGGCTCCAGAGCAAACCGATTTACGCAGCGGCCAAATCTCTGGCTCACAACTTCAATGTCAGGAGCTCACAAGGTAGAATTTTTGCTCACAGGACTCCACAGCTTAGAGGGAGCATTGGCCCTTAGTCACGCTTTTTGTCCTTTTCGGGCTTTCTGCGGGATCGTCCACCTTACAGGATTCTCAAAAGATTCACTGAAATGAGGTATGAGAAGTGCATCGTTCGTGGGAGACTGCAGCTGAACTGAACCGCACCACAGGACCCCATGTGAACAGCAGGAACAACACATGTAATTTTAACCCCCCCCCCCCTATTCTGCAGCTTACAGGGATTTTTCAGCAGAAAGCACCTCCCTCCCCATTACAAAGCCAGAAAGCCAACATAGTGTAATAGTTAAGAAGAAGAGATTGGATTTATACCCCGCCCTTCACTACCCAAAGGAGTCTCAGAGCGGCTTACAAACTCCTTTCCCTTCCCCTCCCCACCACAGACACCCTGTGAGGCAGGTGGGGCTGAGAGAGCTCTTTCGAGGACTGCTCCTGAGAGAACAGCTCTGAAAGAACTTGTGACTGACCCAAGGTTACCCAGCTGGCTGCATGTGGAGGAGTGGGGACTCAAACCCAGTTCTCCCAGATTAGAGGCCACGCTCCTAACCACTACACCAAACTGGTTCTTTTAAGAAGTGTTGGACTAGGATTTGGGAGACCCAGGTTCGAATCCCCCCTCGTGCTATGGAGTCTTGCTGGGTGACCTTGGGCCAGTTACACTCTCTCAGCCTACCCTGCCTCACAGGGTTGTTGTGAGGATAACATGGAGGAGAGGATGACGTAAGCCACTCTGGGTCTCCAGAGGGGGAGAAACGTGGGATAGCGATAAAGTAAATATATAAATAAAACGGCTTCACAAAACCACACTTACTACCGTTCCTTCAAAAAAACCGGCCCAAATTAAACTAGTACAGAAATCAGGTACCCAACATTCAGAAAACCATTTGGAGACAAGAAAAATTCTCCTAAATTATACAGATGGACGCGGAAACCTATGCAGCAGCAATAAAAAGATTTATTAACGGTGTGTTTAAAACGGTAGCGGACAGAGGGCAAATTTGTCCATCCTTTCTCAGCCTGGGGAGATGGGGCAGGCCGAGGCATGGTGAGATACCAGGACTGAGGCCAAGCACCGCAAAAAAAGATGTGCAGGATTAAAAACTCATCTGTGACAAGACGATCCCTGCCTTCTTGACGTGCCCCGAACCGCCTGCCCGTCTCTTGCTCCCAAAGGCAAATAATTAAAATCCTAATCAGGCAGTCTGCCCTGCAAATGACAGCTTAGCTCAACAACAATCACCCCTAAACAGCATTTGGTATACTACAAACGTGGTTTCAGTGCCATCCCTCCCTCCGCATTGGATACACAGGAACAATTAAATGAACAGTGGACTCAATTGTCTTTGTGTAGCAATTCTGATGGGACGGATTTTCTGAAACCTGACTCCGGAGATTGCCGTGGGAGATAATTGATAGTATAGTTTCTCTAAGATGGGACCCAACCAGAAACAGTGGACATTCCCAGATGCCTCCATAAACGCTTCTTTGGATCATAGTAAAAAGAACTGTGCAGCATTTAAAAGCCCCTCTGTTAAATAAATAAGAATAACACTATTCCAACGTTTCCCATTGGATGTATAAAGTGCTCTTTCTCTGGTCTTCACACCAAATCCAACCACCTAACAGGCCCAACAAATTCCTCCCAAACTGGTCACCCAGCGCCAATCTTTAGTCACTGTATTCCTCCCTCTCCTGCAGCGCCGGATACTTGTTGGCCATTTTCCACTTAATGTGCTGCGGTTTCAAGTAGGCAGCCAGAGATGTTTGCCTGCTGATCTTCCTCGCCAGATCCGGACTCTTGCCTCTCCGGGCGATCGGATGGGCGGGGAAGATGGTCTTGCCCTTGGGCGCTCCCAAGAGCTGCCATATCTCCCCCGAGGTGGAGCTGCTCAGGTACTGCCAAGGCCTCTTGCCGCTGCTGTCCCGCACCTGGATCTGGCACTGCAGCTTCTGCACCAGCAGCCGGATGACCAGCTGGTGGCCGTGCATGGCAGCCAGGTGCAACGGGGTGTAGCCGCAGCCGGACTTGACGTTGACATCCAGGGCCACGCCGGCTTTCCGGGCCCCGGTGACAAAATCCAGCAGCACCTGCGCGTTGCCGTGCTTGGCCAGCCAGTGGAGCACCGTGTAGCCCGAAATGAAGTCCTTGCGGGTGGCGAGGTGGGGGTCTTCTAGGAAGAGCGCCCGGACCTGCAGCCACGACCCCACGGCCACCTTAACCAGCCAGGTGTGCTCTCGGGGTTCCAGAGGGACCAAGGAAGATCTGGGTTCGGGGGAACCGTCCGTGGCCAGGCCCAGCCCTTCCACTGACAGGGTGCTGTTCTGGGAGCCCTGCCGGTGGGCCACCTGCGGACTTAAGGGGGCATCCAGATTTGGAGAAGGCAAGCATGCCAACTTCTTGGCCTTTGGCAAGTGCCCACTGGGTCTCTTGGAGTCTTTATCCAGCAGCTCATCCTCCGAGGAGGACCCCCGAGTAATCTGGCCCAAGGGGGGGAGGTGCCCTGGGCTTGGGGGGCCCCGCGGTGGTCCACTTGCCCCCATGGGTGGCCCCAGCTGCCCATTGGCTCGGGGCTTGCGGGGCGGTTCTTCTCCCGGCGTCCGGGCGACCCCTATTGGGGGTCCATTCTGAGTCGGATGGTGCAGGAAGGCCGGTTCGCCTTCTCCCCGACAGGAGTCGCTGCCTCCGCTGGCGCTGCTGCTGTCCTCGCTGGCGGGGCTCTCCTGCTCCAGGAACTCGTCCAGGTCCTGCAGGGCGAGCTGGCACCGGATGCTGCGGAAGACGGGCAAGCGCTCCCGCCACGGCTCCAGCCCGGGAGGCGGCGGGCCGAGCTGGGAGTCGAGCAGCGACGGCGAAGGGCAGGGGCTGCGAGCCGAGATGGGCGGGGAGGGCCGGGCGGACCAGGCTGCTTCTTCTCCTCCCTCGCAGGCGTCATCGGACGGCTGGAGGGCGACCCCGTGCGCCCTGGCCACCCACTCGCGGATCCGCTGCTGGAGGCCGTCGCTGGGAGGCAGCGCGCCCGGGGCCCCGACGGGAAAAGGCGGCCCGTTGGCCTGCGGCGCCCCGCCCGGGAGGGCAGGCAGGTCCCCGGCGGGAGGGCCGAAACCGCAGCTCGTCTGGCTGCGCCTCTCGTCCCCGAGCAGGGCGCATCGTGGCGGGGGGCCGCTTGGCGTGGGGCTGGGAGGGCGCCGCGCCCCGGATCGCCCCCCGAGGTCTGCCGGGCTGGCCCGGAGATCCTGGGCCGAGCCTCCGCAGGTGCGGCTCCTCGGGCGCTCCTCCTTCTCCGCGCCGTTGCGGAGACACTCGCCGCCAGGCGCCCTGGGCGCGCCTTCCGCCCTGCCTTGGCCCCGCGGCCGCTGCTGCTGCGCGCGGCTGCCCGGATCGTCGAGGGGCGGCTGCGGCGGGGCTCGGCCCG